TGTAGCATTTTTGCTAGCCATATGCACAATTTGAGTTATTTAATCAGATTGGCTGTAAATTATAAACAATTGTCTGACCAAAGCTGGTTTTTTTTTACTGTATGACAACAACTATATGTTTCTGTGTCTGATTTATGGTAAAATATTTTAATCTGAAAGTAGTGCACAAAGATCACAGCAAAGTGGGAGTAGGAAATGAATTTGTGATCATTGATTTGCCACTCTTAGATGGCAAATTGGCTTATTGATAGCTGACAATTTTAGCTACCATGCGCATTGCTAAATAAAGAACTGTCTGGAGAACTTTTACGATTGTGTAGTTGAGCAGAATGAGTAAGGTTATGGAAACTACTTAATTTTATAAAAGAAGCTATAAAGAAAAAAAAAGCCTCAGCTCAATGAGTTTGAAAAGTGGAAAATTCAGCTTTCTTTGTATTTGTTTTCTCTTTCAAATACAGCCAAAGAAACAAAGAGCCTGCTGTACCTATAAAAGTTGCCTTACTTGCACTGAAGCATTACACAAATATATTTAAATGCTATATTAAGTTTTAACAGGTTCTCCTAATTTACAATGTGTTTGGTATATTGCTATACATTGAGGATATTTAAACTAAATTTTAAATAGTTTTGTTAAGTATAAACATGTGCATGATCCACCTATCATAAGTGCTTGCTGGGAATATTTTAGGTTTGAGGCACTTAAAAAATCTGTGGTGGTATAATAGTGACGTAACTTAGTTGCATAATGAAATATCTTCAAGAAAACAATCAGGCTCAGAGAGCACTACAGTGGCATAATCATTCACTTTATCACAAAGTGTATTTTATACAAGGCTACCAACTGAAATAAAACCATAGAGGAATTTTTTTTAGATAGGTCTCCTTTATTTGAATAACCCATAAGCTGTTTAGTTATTTTGTGCCCACTCCTGTTCTCCCACAATTTTAAAATTGAAAATAGCTTCCAGGGAATGAGTTGATCATGAAATTTAGGATGTAATTAGATACTTGGGAAACTATTTGGGTGAGAAATGTTAAATTTACACAAGCTCAGAATTTAAGGGAGAATTTTTATAAAATGTTTTACAGATGGCACCTTGATCCACAAAAAATGTCTCGTATGTATCCTGACTTACAGCCTAAATGTTGGAGATGTGGATGTTTGGATGCTACTTATTATCATATCTGGTGGTCGTGTAAAAATATAAAAGCCTTTTGGATTAAGATATGGTGGAATATTCAAAGAATCTTTAGAAGAAGGGTAAAATTTACCCCACAATTGTTTTTGTTAGGTATTGTTATTGATTGTGATACCAAGGAGATTACATTGATGTTAAATTTAATTACAGCCGCAAGGTTGTTAGTAGGGCAATGTTGGAAAAAGGAATCTTTGCCTACTTTGCAAGAGTGGTTTCTCAAAGTTTCTTACTTGGCGGAAATGGCAAAGATTTCGGCTTTCTTGAAGGATCAATCGCAAGAGAAGCATGTTGCGGTATGGAAAAAATGGATAGATTTTATACAACATAAGTTGGATATAAAAATATTATTTAGTTTTTTAATAATTTATATTTAAAATGGAATATTTTGTTTCTTTTTTTTCTTTTTCTTTTTCTGGTATTCTTTTTTCCCCTTTCTTTTTTTTTTCTTTTCTTCCTCTATTCTTTTCTTTGTTAAACATTTATTTTTTGTTTTTTTTATACATATATACTATTGTTAATTATTTTATAATTTTTCTAATTAATGTATTTAGATTTTTAACTAATGCTAGACTCATTTATGGTTTATATTTTCTTTCTTAAGATCTTTTGGTTAAATTTTAATTAAGCCTATATTCAGCTCTGGGAAGATCGGGGGTGGGAATGGGAGGGTTGGGGAGGTGGGGGGGGAAGATTGTTTTGTTTTTGTAAAATTTTAAAAATTTAATAAAAATTATCTTTGAGAACGAAATTTAGGATGTTGCTTAGAGGAGGTATTTCAAAGACATAAGAATTGTATATAATAGAACCATGGAGTCTATTTCTTTTCTTTTTAAACCAGCATGAGAATAGATTTTCTAAATTGCATGTAGTATTGAAAATTTCTTTTGATACGTTATATATATAGGAAGTCAAGATTTTTATAGTCATAGAATGAAAATGTGCCATTCAATTTTCTCTTTTCCTACACAAACAGCTTGGACGTTAGTTTTTATGTGGTGATCCACTGTGAAAGTGAAGAATTTGACTTTGGACATAACCTGAAACTCATTTCAAACTCCATTCCAGAAAATATATTCCAAAGCTATGAAACCACCAGGTGTGGTTGTACTAACTTTAGTTGTTGCCCATTTTTCCACATTGTTTCTTACTTCATTCCCTGAAGCAAATTACTTCCTTATTCTAGGCTATAACTAGATTTTTAATTTTAACTCTCTGTCCCTGAGAAAATTACCATTCTGTTTATTCATCTAAGTTTAGGATGAAAACTGGTGGCTTGTAATGGAACATCTGCCACTTTCAGGGTTCCTGACCATTGGCTTTATAATATCCATGGCTGATTGGAAATGAGAGGCCAAAATAGACAGAAACCCTTACAATGGTATAAATATGAACAAACATGAAAGAACAAGCAAATACTCTTTTTGTCTCCAATCTGCCCCTTCCCTCTACAAAAGTCATTGAAAATCTTTGGATTTCACAGATGTGTATTTTATTAAAACAATTCAGCAAAAATCCATTAAAAATCACCTACCATATTCAGGAAAAACGTTTATTTCAAAGGACATTAGATAAAAATTAAATAAAATGCTATTGGATAAAAATCAAAATAAGAATTTGTCACCTTTTTATTGCTTGGTAAAATAAAACCAAACTGGTGATTAAAAAAAATATTGACACTGACTTTCTAACCACAAGCAAAAAACTGAAACCCTTAATTCAAATAGGTCCTTTTCCAATTTAAAAGATAATCACAAAGGCATGGATAAAATTCACTTAGAAACAAAGAGCTAACTCCCAGGAAAACTACTGTGATCAACTTTGGCTGAAGCTTCACAAGGGAAGGCATTCAGAAGATCCCTTCAATAACACTCTGGGTTTGTTGAAGTTCATAGGGTTCTTACAATTGAGCTCCACCACCTTGCATACCAGATCCAGATCTCCTGGCTGGCTAAGGTGTCCTGGAAAGTGATGTTTGAGTGGCTGCTGGCAGTGGTGAATTCTTAGAAATTGTCTTGCCACCTCTTAAACAGAGAGTGGTGTACCTCCTCAAAAAGTCATCACTAGATCTAACCTCACTGATAATTTTCATCTGCTTTCCAATCCTGACTGAATCAGTCAGGATTCAGGTCCAAGAATGGAACTGAAACACTATTGGTCATGCTTTGCAATGGCTTTTAATGGGAGATTGGGGTAATATTTCTATCCTTGTTCTTGACTTCTCAATAGCTTTTAATACAGTTGCCAATGATAATGCTTTGGCAAGCCTTCTGAAAACTTCTAAGGCATTGTAAGCACAACATGAGTAGTCTAAGGAAGAATGTCAGGCATGCCCAACAACTGCCTTCATAGGATCAGGTGAGGCATGCTTTGAGAATAGTGGAAGATGGCAAAAATCAGCTTGGTGCAGCAAGGCCTGTAGAGCACAAGGGCAGCTGGGCTTTGAACTGCAGGGTTGGCTGTGGCATGGGCTTGAGGGGATACTTATGAAATACCTACACAAAAGTGATGGAAAATGACTAATAATGATGTGAAATAAAATATATTAATATATATAAAATAATAAAAATGGAAAGCTTTGGTTTTTTTAAAGGGAAATTAGACGTAGTTGGGTTTTTTGGAAAATATTTTCCTTAGGCAATCTCCCCATTACATCTAACAAGAAGACAGGAGGGCAAAAGATCCTCTTACCTTTTACCTAGTGAGTAAAGCAGGACTAGAGTGGATTCTGTAAAATGTCCTATGTTGAACAGAACCCTATTTTCACAGGCACATGCACAAAAATGGCTCCTAAGACATCTAAACCAACTTTTGTATTGTCCAACATGGTTGGACACATGGGACATCTTAAGATATAAAAAAAATTAAAACACAGTGCTAAACACAAAATACTCTGCTCTGGATGCATCTTTCAGTAGCAGGAGAAATGTACATTCATTTTACCAAAGCTGGTACTACTTGCAGGAGATGGCACAAAAGTTGCTGTCTGCTTCTTCATTGTCATTTTTAGGATAGGAATACTTTTTAACATATCACATTAAAATGGATAACATTAAAAAAAATCAGTCAGTCAATCATTGAATCAATATGGTTTATATTAAAACCATCACAAACTAAACATGCATACCCGGTGTAAGTAAGCAAATGTTTTCAGAAATGTTATATATTTATTGTATTTTAACATAACATCTAATGGGAGAAATAAATGAATTGTTTTGATGAAATAAAGATACAATCTGACAACGTTTGATTACTGCTTAGAAAACCTAACAGTAATGATAGACGTTCTATAATTTTCTGATTGATAACTGAAATAAAGTAGTTTGATCCATTCTATAAAATACAAGGTATCTTAAGTGTCACTACTCTTTTTTTCCATAAACATTAAAATACCTTACATTTCAAATGGATTTTCTTCCCATGAGCTGGCATGAAGTTCAATTAAGCAAAACATGTGACAATTTATGCCTGCAGCGAGTAAGTTCAGAATCTCATACTTTTTCTGTTTCAATTACCTTCTAGCTAGTTTACAAATAAATCAGTCATATTATATTTTGCAGTTTGTAGCGCAAGTTTTCCTAATAATTTCATTTAAATAGACACTGGAACTTCTATACTGAAAAAACAATGGGGGGGGGGGTAAAGCAATATTGCGTGGTAATTTGAATACTGCTCAGCACAGAAGCTAGAAATGACAGTACAACTATACAAAATATTCTTGAAATAATACCTTACAACTTTCTACAACTGAATGTAGGATATACCAGAGATCAATAATTGCTGGAAAATTTACATAGCAAAGCATTAATTTTCATATATTTTATTCAGAATGTTTGAATGAGCAAAAAACAAATGCAAGTGATAATTAATATTTAGTTTCTCATGAAACAGAACAATCAGTATCACTGTAAATATTGTACACAGAATTCATTCTTGATCTAATCTGACAGAGCTTTCATAAACCTTAACATTAAGAATCAAGCTATTGTTACATTTGGAAACAACTCAAGAATAAAAATGGAAATACACTTTAACACTTAAAAGTAAAACTTTAAAGAATGCACACTTGTCAGAAGAATTGAATGCTCTTCCCTTATACTTTAACACAAAAATTATATAGCACTTTCACCAAAGCCTGAGTTTAGTAGGATTATAGATAGATGCCTTTTCCCAAAAGGAAAAAACAGACCAAAAAAACCTGTAACTAATCTTTAACTTTCACTCAGCTTGCTTCTACAGCCATACAACTGTACAAATGCCACTGCTCTACCCTCCCTAACAGTTTTTTTTTCTTTACCAAACTCTTTGGTAATAATACAAAGGAAGCCATAAGACAACATGTAGCAGCTACTTATTTTCCATGTCTTTTCTTAAGTACCTTCATTGAGGCCTATTTATTATCCCCTTTTTTCTTGCCCCAAGTTGTCCTCAAAAGAAAATAATCAAATGGGCATAAATACAGAAGCTGCAGTCAAATCAATCTTTTTTCCCTTTCTGAACAGAAGAGTCAAACTTTACATAAAGCTACTCGCATAAAGCCAAAAACACAGACACAGGAATATTAAATGCTTCTTGCCTTGGAGTCCTCTTTCTATTGCCCATTATCTCCAAAACCACTGCTTTTGCAGTTTCAGAGGAGGGAAAAATCTATGCTGGATGTTCCATGGGTGTGCAGCTATTTTGAAGACAAACTCCAGCATAGCCTATCTAATGTAAAATAAATTTACTAGGACACTACAAAGACTTTGAATAGATAATATAACTTAACAACTATTGCTTTTTTTCCCTATCCTTTTTTCTTTTTAAAATACATTATATGCTGTTTAATAGACTTTTCTTAATCCAGGTGCAGTATACATTTCATAGATAAAACAGATTATCATTCATTGCTTGTCAAAAGAATTCAGAATCTTTTTGCAATGAAGACACAAGTTAGTATTTAACCAAAAGATAAACTAAACATTAATTAGACTCCTTTAATATTGTAACAGTAGCATTTCACAACCTTAACTCACCACATAAGCTTGAGAGAAAATTCCTATCAACCTCCCAAACGCAGAAAATTTGTGGAAATCAACAAAAGCATTCCTGCCTTTGTTAGGCATCCCTCTGTCTCTCTCTTTCTCTCTCACACACACCATGGAATGTTGCTTATGTACAGTGTCATACCAAACACTTTATTCAGAACAGCTTAACAGTCATTAACTGTGCAACACCTGAAGCTTTTCAATGCCATAATTGTCACAATGAAATGAAATGCCACAGTTGTTTTACTTGTAATGACATGAAGTGATGCTGTACATCACAAATTTGCTGGCTTTCCTCATGTTCACCAGAGTACAAATTCCCTGGATCTGAATGTATTTTCCCCATAATAAGTGGAATGTAATGAGGAACTATTAATGCATAAAACAATAAAAAGGCAGAAGAGTGATGATCCCTCTTTAGCTTTTTAGCTGTAAAATATTTTATATCCCAGTATGATATACATTCCAAGATACCTGAGTTTAGACTTCGAGAGAAGTACCTGAAGCTATGCCCTTGAACGGGCACTGTGCAACTGTTGTGGCCATTTTTCTTTTGAGTTTTTTTCTTTCTTTTTTTTTTTTTTTGCATTGTATGTATCACAGAAGTTTAAAACATAAATACCTGGATAAATTGTAAACATAATCCTGAAGTACAGTATCTTCTATAGAACACAACACAGCAAGACATTTTCTATTTAGACAGGCAACCTTTGTTTGATACAGAGCTTATTTATACTGTAGAATTTTAAAAAGAAAACACAGGACACAGTACTACTCTGGTCATTCTATGAAATGCATAGTCTCCACTTAAAATGCTAAATGGTATATAGATTCTGCAAGCATTTTGCTCCCCCTCCCAATACAAAAATGCTGAATCAGAGCATTTCCATCCCTGCCAAGAAGAGCTTTGAAATATAGAAAGATGCTGAAAAACAGCTTTTTTTTCCCTTGAAAAGTGGCCACTCATGCAGTTGTGTTTTAGACCAACAGTCTATTTTGCACTAGATTATAACATAGTTTTGAGGAGGGGAGTGGTCTTCAGCTTGCGGTTCTTGCAAAAGCTGTGGAGATTGCTGGGGTGGCTGTTGTACTAAAATCTCTGAAGAGTCCCTTGTGCTGGTGTCATCCAACAGGGAAGAGAAAGTAACCCGAGAAGACAGCTGCTCCACAGTCAGAGTACTCAGAGGTGTGCTTTGACTAGAGTTTGGACAGCCTTTGAGAGTCAGATCAGAAGAAGGTAGTAAAGGACCCAAAAGTTTTACAGGACAGAAAGCTGATCCAGTTGGGATGAAATTAACTTTATTTTTGTCAGGACATGAAAAGAGAGGGGTTGAGACAGGCTGACGAGTTCTATAAAAAAATGGAACAGATGAATAATTACAAATCTGAGTACAATTTGAGAATACACTTTGATACAAATGTGCAGTATTACATATTGCTATGCACAATGACAAAATAATGGAATTACTTGACAGATGGGCAAACATCTTCCATATTGACTGTCAGCTAGCTGATTCACAGCAATAAATAATATGCATGGAAAAAGCAAGCAGACAAATTTATTATATTCACACACAAGAAGGGGCAGCAAATCCAGAGAAACATTTTTACTGAGCTCATACAATACCTTCTAACTTCATCAGTTTGCCCACACAAGCTATGTGTTTAGAGAATGCAGATATCACACTCTTTCATATATTGTTCTTTTCCTAACACAGATGCAAATACACAGAGAGAAGCTAATAAAATAAATACAATTTAAAAACTACCAAAAGAACTCTGGCTACAGCTGCCTTTACAGAATGAAAAACATTACACAAACTCCGTATTTCCATATTCTCCTTTGGCTACGCTTTCATAAGATACAAATCACATGACCAAGGGTGTTTTTTCTCTCTCTCTCTCTCTCTCCCGTGTCCCTCTAAATCAACAGGAACACTTTCAACTTCTTGCCTGGAAAAATTGGCAAGTCTGATTTGTTTCTTGAAGGGGAGAAGTAAACTTCATCACTGGAATAGATTATGCATCTGCAGCTCAAAAAAAGTCCAACAAACTGATTTTCCACCCTTGCAGATCCCAGCTGATATAAAAAACATTACTTACGACACTTCCTCAAAGACCTTCACTCGTTCACATCCCTCTGGGGGCTCTCGTTTGAACATGTAGCTGTTGTTGGGCTTAGGAGAGGAGGCATACTTGGGCAAAGGTGAGCTACTCCCACTGTCTGAAAATTTAAAGCAGTTGTATTACTAGTGATTAAGATTTTTATAAAAATTAGTCTGATTTCCAAATATGATGGTTTTTGCACAACATGGTTTGCTTCAAATGAGTTTTTTTTTTATTGTGGCCTATTTGAAAGTGTTATCTATCATGTATTAGAAAATAACAAGAAGATATTATCCAGAGTACCACAGATCAAATAAAGCAGAATTATAATCTTGGAATAAATTAAATTCTCTATTAAGCATTTCAAAAATGGAAGCCACTAAATAAATATGTACAATTCAAATAAAGAAGGGTAAGTAGTTAATGAAAAGTAATTGCCTTTTTTTTGTAATTGTCTTCTCACTATACAAAACTGAAACAATGCTCATATCATCTGAAACACAAAGTGCCCACAATACATGCAATATTATGAAAAAACACAGCTATTTATATAATATAAGCTATTATACAAATGGGCTTTGAAACACAAAATAAAGTAAGCATCTCCAATTTTTAGTCCTGACACAGTGCTATACCCGTTCTTTGTTTTCTCTTTGATTATCTATGTGAACACAGGAGAAACCTAGCAAATTTTAACAGCACTAAAGTACAATCTATAATTTAAAACTACAAAAATATAGCAATAAAAATAGGATATATGAAAAAATGCCCTGATGGATTGCATCTACTGATCTGATCATTATATTTTATCATTCATGATCTTGCTCAAAGGATGATTCAAAAATAAAACATTTAAACAGTTGTGCAACTATCAGAGCCTTCTTTTCTCATTAATATTTCCTTCTATAGGTGAATTAGTAATCATGTACACCAATTACATCAAGTGCTATTTCTGCTAGTTGGTATTTTCAGTTCTATGGAGAGAAGCCTACAGAATATTGTAACTATTTCGCAAACTGTCAAGCCAAATGTTCTTGTATCAGTCCCCCAGTAGCTGTAACTGAAAACTTTAAAAACATGCTCGTTTACTGTCTTTGAAAAGTTAAATGCAATTTCTCTTATTTCTTTTTAAATATCCTCTGCCCTGACTTTCAGAAACAAATCATCCTAACAACGAAGCAAAAAAACACAAACAAAAATAAGGAACTCCAGTATTGATTTCTGTATCTAAATAATTAACTGAATCATTCAACTAACATCTACCAGCTGCTTGTCTTAATAACTTTACAGAAATATTTCTCTATCTGTCAGTTTTTAAACTTCAGGTAACAAGTTCTGTCTTCACATTCTCCTTAAAGTACATTAAATGTAGTTTTCATATAAAGCTAGTTTTAACAAATACTGAAAGACCTGCAGAATAAGAGCCTTCATTAATCCAAAACTAGGTGGACTAAACAGATGGCTCATCAGTAACATTAAAGGTTCTGCCTGTTACTAAAAAGAGTGAGATTTACTTAACAAAAATGAAGTTCTATTTTACAATCTAAATAGTAGAGGCTGAAAACCAGCCCTCTTTGTACCACAAGGTCTCAAAAATACACCCGCAGGCTGTAATAGCAATGGGTGGGGGGGAGACTAAACTGAATTCTAATCACTGGCCCCCTGTGGAGCAGGCACTTTTAATGCAATAAAACTGCTTCTAATCACACTGCAGGCTGGGGGCTTTCTCCCCTCCCTTTCCCCATACACAAAACAGGTGCCACTGACATTTTCTCCAATCCCTGCCAGGCAAGATCATTATCCCACCCAAAAGTAGACCGTGGATTTCCTTTACAGATTTTATGTTCAATTTCTTTTAAAAATTTCAACCTACTTAAGCAGCTCTTTATAGAAAAGTAAATAGCCAATCTTGTGCAAAGGGTGGCAATGGATCCTGTGGTTAAAGGCAGCCTTCTAATGAAAAGAAAAGATGCTTTAGAAATGTAAAACAGATCTGTGTCTGGCCAGCAGGTTAGCTCTCCCTATGCTTGATCAATTATTAACTTCCATTTTTTATTCACAAACCCAATAAGTTCCAGCCTAAAGCTGATTTTCTGTTGAAAAGTATAATGCAAATTGGACTGCAAAAAAGATTTATGATAAAGAACAAAGAGTTCAGAATCTTTGGATAATTTTATATGACTTAATATAAGATATTTAAACTTGAAAATACCTCTTTCCAAAACAAGTACATGAAGTTAATAAACTAAGTTTAATCATCACAGAAAATCATTGAATATAAAAGTCAAAGAGAGAAACTCAACCTCTGGTGGTTAGATAGACCCATAATAAAAATGTGGGTACCTCTACCCTAGAGCAGAAAAATGGGGGAAATTGATGCTGACAAATGTTTTTGGCAATAATATAATTACCACCTCTATTATTCAAAACAGCAGTAAGCTATCACAAAAATGTGATACCAAAGAAATCTCACAGGTAGCGTAGAATAGAAAATGCTACTGCAAGGCTTTTTCTCTCTAATTAAAAAATCATTTAAAGTGTGTTTTTATTCCAGAGATGTACTCAAAAGTTCACTTATGTAGTTCAATTGAAATGTATACATTCTTCTATGCAATTCAATTATAACGCTAGCTTTATCCAAATGTAAGCTTACACTAGGAGAACAAGCAATATTACATGTGGCACATTATCTTTCTCAAGACAGCAATTTGTAATTACCACAATTGCCAAAACTTATGACCAATATCATAAGTTGGACTAGAAGACCTCAAAGGTCCCTTCCAACTCTGTTGTTATTATTGTTGTTGTTGTTGTTGTTTTGTTATTATTATCAATAATTGACTGACTTTCTTCTCTTTGGTCTGTTGAGGATGTTGAGGATGCAATTTGGACACATCAATTGGCAGAGGATTGTCTCCTGCTTGTGTAATGTTAGATACAGCCCAATCCTGCTACACTATTTTAGAATAGATTATTAATTTAATAATCAATATCCACAATCTATCCTTAAATGTATTTGTCAATTAATGAAATGTCTGCTTAGCTTGTAAACAGCTTTTAAAGGTCACTTAATGCTTCATTTAGAACTGATAAAGTAACATAAGGCATTATCTTAGTAATATAAAATAATTTCCTTTTAAAAAACAAAGTAAAATGCATTAAATGGATTAGCTAAAATTAGCTCCAAAATTACTGGTCAAGCTCAGTTACATTACAATGAAATGTTTTAAATCATATGCAACTCTGAAAACATATACATTTATTTATTTATGCCAATTAAATATACAGCATGACTATTATGGCAACTTAAGTTAGATATAATTTGTGTCAACATCACTTCTTCCTGAAAGAGCAGCTAATAGGCTATCATGCATAAAATGAATATAATTATCAGATTCATTTAAATATACAGTATACCGCAATTACAGTTGTAACAATGGAAGAGAATATTGAAAATATATTTTTGAAAGCTTAAAAGTATGACAAACTCATACTTTTATGCCTACCCTTTATGAGCTCTCCTTTGAAAATAAACTAAAATTTAAAGTATTTGTCGAAACCCAAAATAACTTTATCTAAAAGATTCTTAAGGAATATGAGGAAAATATAAAGGTATCTATTAACTGAATATTTTTATTCAAAATAAATGTTATAATTATAAAATGTTTTTATTATGAGCAGTGTAAGACAAAGAAATTAGATAAACAAAAAGCAGTTTGTGAGATATATTTTAAAGTAATGCTCATGTAGTTTATCTGTAAGAAAACAACAGCTCATTGTATCCTATATCAGACAGAAATGGGCAACCTGAATTTCCTTTCATTATTCCCTTACTGCTGAACTACAAACTTCCATTAACTTCAGCCAGTCTATGGTTAGGAATCTGGTAACATCTATGAGCCATAGACTGCCCCAACCACTAAAGAAAGATAAAGCTATTAAAAATCTGCTGCTATAATAATAACAACAATAATAACAATAATAGAGTTGGAACTCCCTGCTCAGGCAGGAATACCTATACCATTTTGGACAAATGGTTGTCCAGTCTCTTTTAAAAACTTCCAATGTTAGAACATTCACAACTTTTGGAGGCAGGTTGTTCCACTGATTAATTGTACTGTCAGAAAATTTCTCCTTAGTTCTAGGTTGCTTCTCTATTTGATTAGTTTCCCTCCATTGCTTCTTGTCCTGTATTCAGGCGCTTTGGAGAATAGCTTGACTCCCTCTTTTTTGTAGCAACCCCTAAGATATTGGAAGACTGCTATCATATCACCCCTCATCCTTCTCTTCATTAAACTAGACATACCCAATTTCAGCAACCGTTTATTTTATGTTTTAGCCTCCTGTCCCCTAATCCTCTTCGTTGCTCTTCTCTGTACTCTTTCTAGAATCTCAACATCTTTTTTATATCGTGGTGACCAAAACTGGATGCAGTATTCCAAGTGTGGCCTTACCAAGGCATTGTAAAGTAATATTTTAACACTATATGATTGTAGCAACAGCAAGAGCAGCAGCATGTAAAGATGCTAATCAAGTATTATTGAGAAAATACCTTAGCTTTAGTTCCACAATATACTTTATAGTATGTTATATCTTTACATCTTTTCTAATATATCTTAACATACTGCTCACTATGGATACCTTTATCCATAAGAAAACTAAGCTATGATACTCTTTAAGTTGTTCTGAAATCAAAAATGAATAAATGTAAGAAAAGAGAGAGTACTGTATTGACACCAACTGAACAAACCAGTTCAACTAAAACTGCAATACGAACAGGACCATGTGTGGGGTTAAGGAAGAATATATACAAGAACAGATAAAATATGGATAAGAAGATTTCAAATGGTGCTGCAGGCAAAGGAAAGAGAAAAGGAAATGAAAGAAATGTATATAACATATAAGTGAAAATGTAAAAACTGTAAAATCTTAAAGGCAGAATTCAAGATGTATTTCAGTTAAAAGGAGGAAAAAACAAAGCATATAAAAGATTGTAAGGAATAAAAAGAAAGAAAAAGAAAATACAAGCTTTTTAAGAATGAGCAAGCAAACAAAAATCAAGGACATTCATTCATTCCATCTATTTCTTTAACTGATTTGGCTATATTTAAATTTACATCGTAATTTTTAATTATTTAACCAATTCATAATTAAGATTTCTCAAAATAATTGCAGAAACTATATAACTATATTTTAAAATAATTATAAGGCAAACTGGAATGTGTAGCCTTTATGAATTCTACAAAATAAGTTCAGATAGATGGCTAGAAGACAAACTAGGAAGACACAATTCATTTTGAAAGTGAATGAGTCAATGCCTGGATAGGAGGTCATCAGTTAAGTGTCATAAGGCATCTTGAACTCCATTAAACAAATAAAGAATATAAATTAATATTTAAATATATGTATATGTACCACTAAAAGTTTTCTGCTTCTTCTACATAAAGAATAATGCAGAGGGTTCTACACAAAACCCAAACCATGTTACCTTCAACATGTTGGAGATTTATACAATTGCAAAATAAATAATTACATGCTTTTAAAATTATCTTTGCAGCCACTAGAAACTCTTAGAAAAATAAAAATGAATGCTATAATTTAAAGCATGCTGAATATTGTATTCCTCATCAATCCATGAAGGTGCGTAGAACTGCACACTGTACAAAACACTAACTGTGCTAAGAATGTCTTCATTTAATTACAAGGAGGCATTACTTTAAGGCTGCAACCCTGTACTTACTTACCTGGGAATAAGTTCCACTGACCTCAATGGGGCTTACTTCTGAGTAGACATATAGAAGATTGCACTGTTAAATACAGACAATGAAACACAGCCATGATTCGCTCATCAGCAGAACTCATTCCAAAGTCACAATCTTTACACACTCAACTGGAAAATGCTGTAGTTTAACTTGTTTCATTATTTAAAAGTAACATAATCATGAAGTGATTTAACTTCATTGACCAATGATTCACGTTCTGTTATATGGAGCGGTGAACTTTCTCTTAACTTCTTACTCTAGTATTCGTTAACAAGAGTTAAGACCACTGTGTTCTTTTCTGACACTTATGGAAGATGTTTGTAAAACTTCACAAGAAAAAAAACACTTAACAAGCAAAAAAAAAAAAATCAATGAGCAATCTGTGTTCACACCACCAGGATGACAACAACAAAAATGATTTTAACACAGTGAGGGTACATTACGGTAAATGCAAGCCATGATTAGTAATTCCAACAGACTCTCACCTTTATCACGGTCATAAAGCACGTCTTCTGTAGAACAAGGACTCCCATCCTGAGATTCAGGACGACAAATAGGAGAAATGCATGGAGAATGGCTGCTACAGCTGCTACTGCGTTCCTGGACTGACGGTGTTTGTGTATCAATGCTTCGAGTGCTACTGCTACGATAGTGAGCAGGTAAGGGTGCTCTCCGACCATCAGGAATATCCAACGGCTACAATACAAACATCATTCTTAGCATGCATAGTAAAAATTTATCCTTCCTTAGGCAATTTGAATCCTGGAGAGAATTTGACCTGTCCTCTTTCAACGCACTTTATGTCAGACTTGATCTTTTAAAAGGGCAGGGAAGTCATTTTTCCTACAAAAGAAGCAAGTGGCTCAGTGGTGTGCTATGCATCAGTTCAAGTAGGGCTATAAAGGAGAATAAAATCAGTTGCTTTAATGTGAAGGGTCATATTCTTAAAAAGATGGCTGCACTTTTTAAAGTTTCATGCTGAGATTTATTTGTATCAAACCAATTGTCTAGCAGTTTAACAGTAACAAAACAGTTTCGTTAACAGTAATAAAAATGTCATTAAAAAGCAGAAAAGTTTAAAGAAACTTCTAACAGTGATAAAAGAACAGAAATCTTTTTCACAGTACATGAGAGGATACAGCAGACCTCTGATTCCAATATTCCATATTATAGAATATGATATATAATGGCAGTTTTTTACAAACTAATTTCTCTTGTACAAATCAAGTACATTATCATTTTTAAGAAAAGAAAATTCTATTTTTCCCCGGTCTTTTATTTTCATGAAGAATCCTTTTACTAATAAACACTAATGGATTCAGAGTAGTCACTAGTTACTGAACAATATATCCCCCCCCCACCCTTTCCTGTAAAGCTGCTATAGGCAGTCCTCACTGAATGACCCATTCATTCGTTAACTATCTGAAGTGACGATGACACTGAATGAAGAGGACTCATGACAGGTCCTCATAGTTGCAACCGTCAGAACATTAATGTCTTCACAAGATCATCATTTCACTTCACTGCAGGTTTCCAACAAAGTCAATAGGGAAGCTGGAAAAGATTGCAATAGTGGGACACTGTGATTACTTGGGATTTGCATAACAACTTAAATTGCCATAACTGCTGTCATAGGTCAATGTGATCACATGACTGTGCTTTACAACACTGCTTAGCAATGCAGTTGCCGGACCCAATTACCATTATTATGCAAGGACTGCCTATATATCAAAACATAAAAGATGAGTGTAGCCATAAATGGTTTAATTTCAAAAAAAGAGATTTATTTAATAAGCATTTAAGATGCTCATTAAAGATTCTAGATGCTGTTTGCTATATTTTTATGATTTACATCTTTCCACGGCATTTTTCCTTCAATTTTCAAACAGCTAAACTTATGCATATATCAGCTTTTGTGTTCCTGTAAGTCAAACAATACTTGCAAGATGATTTTCCATTTTTTTTATTTCAGCCAATACTGCAAAATCACAATGACTGCCACCACAACAAAAACTATAAGGCTCCCCATCCTAAATTCTTTATTTTCGTAGTGGTAAGGACTTCATTCCTTCCCCACCACCAGCAATATCATTTTGTCATGAATCTTTGCTAGTTGCTGTCAAATTAAGGGACTCCACTTATAATGGCATATATATCATAATTAAGAATCTACAAATATATGCTGTAGTTTACTATATTTGTATAATACATAAATTCATTTGCCTTACCCTATAGCATAAACCAACGCAATAACCCACCCATAAAAATATATAAAAACTTTTTAAAAGCTTTTTTTGCTCAGTTTTGTAATTCATTATCTTATGATATAATTTTTAATATTATTTATTTTATCATAAAAAGTAAAATAGAAAATAGAAAAACAAACAAAATGAAACAAAAGCATATATTGAACCCTAACAACAAAAAAGAAAAAAATAGTGTACAAAAAAAAAAGGAAAAAGTGATCAAATAAATTTAACATTTAACATATAGGATCCACCCTGGCTAGGTGCTGAAAAAAAGGAAGGAAAAAGCAGTAAATTCTCCTCCTCTTTTACACACACACACTCACACACACCACATATGAAAAAGTAGTCAACTGATTAAGCTAAACATTACACCAACCTTCAATTCTCTGTTAACCATCTGTTATTATATTTAACATACAGAAACTCCACTGACCATTTTATCTCTTATAATTAATTATATCATAATTATATTTTTAATGTCAGTAAAGTTTTATGAAAGTTTGTGGACTACTTAGTTGTAAGTGCTTGCATATTTGTTAAGTTTCTTTCCAAGACACCTGAAGGCAGGACAAGAAGCAATGGAGGAAAACTAACCAAAGAGAGAAGCAACCTAGAACTAAAGAGAAATTTCCTGACAGTTAGAACAATTAATCAGTGGAACAACTTGCCTCCAGAAGCTGTGAATGCTCCAACACTGGAAGTTTTTAAGAAGAGACTGGACAGCCATTTGTCTGAAATGGTATAGGGCAGTGATAGCGAACCTTTTAGAGACCGAGTGCCCAAACTGCAACCCAAAACCTGCTTATGTATCACCGGGTGCCAAGTTGGCATGGCCCACTGGGCGTGGCTACGGAGGTCATGGCAACGTGAGTAGGTATGGCCAGGGTGGGTGTGGCCACCTCGATGTTGCTCCTAGGGAGGGATACCTGTGGGGGGCAGGCAGGGCTGGGGGAGATCCAGGGGGTATCTGGCAGATGGGACAGTGGGTAGGAGGCTCATCCTGCAGAATGAGGTGAAGCGAGGCGAGAGAGGGGGCAGGGCAGGGGTGCCATTGCCATGGGGCAAGGCAAGGCAAGGCAGGGGCCAGGGCTGGTTGCAGACAAAGAGGGGGGCTCTGGTAAGGAGGAGGAGGAAGAAGAGGGTTTACGAAAGCTTAGCAAGCAGAGTGGAGATTCCCCCCCCCCCAAAACAAATGTGCTTTGTGAGTAACTTCAAAGTACGAAAGAAACCAAAACTGCTGCAACCACCCAGCAGGTGGGAGGGGAATAAAAACCAAACAGCCCCCCCCCCGCCAATTCTCAACAGAAATGTTCATGACAACAAAAGCCTCGGATAGGGGTAGGAGCATGGGCAGGTGGGCGTCTTGCTCAGCTGATGGCTTGGGGAGGGGAAGGGAGCAGCTACACCCCCTCCCAAACATTGCCCTCTCACGAAAGCAGGATAAAAACTCCAAAAAGCAATAAGGAAAAAAGTGAAAACAGAAAAGTATCTCAGAACACCTGTATTAGCAGATGCAATTGATAAAAAATCTGGATGAAGAATGGTCAATAAAGCATTCTTGGTTGTTTATTTTATCTTTCCTAATAAGCTGTAACCAACTTCCTCTCTTCATTTTGCAAAACCTGTGGGTCCCACACCATTCCACATACCTGCAAGAAAGCAGCTGCAATCAGAGTACTCTAACTGTAACTTTGAAATGTGGCACTGATTTAACTGCTGTCACACTGCAAGTACAGTTGGAATTTACAGTACTAGTTTATCCTTTCTTTCTTCTCCTTATACAAAACTACACCTTCTATACACAGAATGGAGAGTTATTGTCGGTTTCTTGTCCAGATTTAGTTTCCCTCTTCATCTGATTAGCTACTGGAGTAAAATAACGCCAAAATTTGCTTTTATCAAGTATTCTTATCCTGAGGGGGGAGGGGAAGAGACAGAAATGCTTTCTGCTATCTGGGTGTGTGTATTTCAACACAATTTCCAAAGTAGAATTCCTCGACATATAGATTATTCCTTTACACTGGTTAAATCCAGAAAAATAGGTTAACTCAATAACTAGGCTAAATATAAATGTCTATCAGCAAAACAGGGTTCATTCTCTGGGGGTGAGGGTGGGGATCCTCTTTCTTACATAAAGTTGGGACCTGTTGAACACACTTTGAGATCCCAATGAACAATTCCAGATCATGCAGGTAATTCACCAGCCTCTAGCAACCTGTCAGATAGGCTGGCTGGCATGGAATTAAACCTCCCTCCTATCCCCATCTATACATTACTCTCTTTCAGAGTAAATGAAGTTTGGTGAGCAGGGGATAAATTAAGTCAATGCAAGAAAAGAAAGAATGGCCTGGTCAGGGGATACATTTATCTCCCTCTCCACCTTGTTAGCTCTTCAATTATTTGAGTTCCTGAGTCAACCAATTGGGTTCACCCTTCCATGCCCCCTTTACAATTTCCCCAAAGGACTGTAAAAGTCACTGTCTTTCTGAAGACAAAGTGTGCTTTTGTGCTCCTGGCAGAGGGCACCTGGAGCCTCGCTGCAGTCCTGATCTTGAACTGGCAAAGATTGGAAAAGGGGAGTTGTCTTACCTGAATGCCGTTTCTCAGCACGGAGATGGATAATCCACTAATGGGTTAACTTAATCCTCCTGCCCAATCAGATCAAGTCAGCCAAACTTGCCACGCCCTGTCCTAGGCCTGTTTGCCCCAATTTTCGACGAGGACGCAGCTACTGACTAACAGCATGACGTGTTGGCTCACAGTCTAAACCCTAGGCCTAAGGACCTAATTGGGTGGGTGTGGATTATCCATCTCCATGCTGAGAAATGGCGTTCAGGTAAGACAACGCCCCTTCTCCAGCACTGGAGATGGATAATCCACTAATGGGACATACCAAAGCCCACTGTCCTTACGGGAGGGAAACGGGCAAGTTTGGAACCGTGTCGCGGGGCACCACTTGTTGGAGGACCCTCCTGCCAAAGGATACCTCGGCGGATGCGTATCTGTCCAGTTTATAGTGCCTTATGAACAGTGATGGGGAAGACCACATGGCTGCCTTACATATCTCCTTGATGGAAGCCTGTGTGGCCCAGGCCGCTGAGGTGGCCACACTGCGTGTAGAGTGGGCCGTGACATGGGGTGGAATCGGCAATGAATTGGACTGGTATGCCCCCGCAATGCAAGCTCTTATCCAACGACTGATCGTGGAGGCCGAGACCTTCTGGCCCTTGGAAGAAGGTAGAAAGGAGACAAAAAGAGCCTCGGAATTACGAAAGGTAGCCATCCATTTAATGTAGTAATGAAGAGCCCCTCAGTCATCCAGAGAATGCCATTGCCGTTCCAGATCGTGGGACGGATTGGGGCAGAAATCAGGAAGAACGATGTCCTGGGTCCTATGAAAAAGAGAATTAACTTTGGGAACAGAGGTGGGGTCTAAGCGAAGGGTGA